ATATCTGAGTCATGCAGGAAAGCATGATGCACTTCTACAGTTCACCTTTCAACTGAAACTCACTGCACTCAACCTGTATGTCCATGGAAGCCAAAGAGCAAATAACATGACAAATATAAAGGATTTATCCCAGAAACTGAGTAACTGCTTCATGAGCCAGACTAGAATTAATCTGCAATGTGGCACAGAGGTAAAATTCAGAGAGGAAGATATTTCAGAGATGGCGTTAGGATTAATACAAGTCTCTCTGCCCACAAAACTGCAAAGAGCTAACTGGTAAGCAGCCTGTCTCCAGAAGCACAAGACCAAGGACAACAGTTGTTTATCTTCATAATTTGCTTGTCTCTGACTCCAGGGGCTGCTGACCTGTTACAGTTTAGTGCATCCACATTCACAGCCACTGCCATATGCCAATTCAGAGGGACACGCTTTCTTCACAGCATCTCATTTGCCCTTTTTTCCGCCAAGATTCCCACATCACGCTCCTTAAAGCAACGCTGGTGTTCACAATAGCACTCTCAGCCCTGCTTTTACCTTTTTATCAGTATAAGCCACTTGTTGCCAGCCTAGTTCTTTTTCCTATTGAAAGTACATTTGTCAGGCAGCCAAGGTTTTGTAAAAATAAAGTGTCCAGAGAGTGACAGTCTCTGCCTCCACATAACCACGCCAGAAAGATGCTCTTGACAGAAACTTCCTTCCACTGAAATTCTCCCATCAAGTCCTCTCTGCAAAAGAAAACTGGACTAGTATTTCACATCATTTTTTAAATCATCAAGTTCAGCAAAGACAAACTTGCCAGTGTCCTCTTAGTTTTGAAGAAATGGCAGATTTTGATTTTCCTTAAAATTAACCCCCAAAGACTTACTCTACCCCCAAAATTAATCTGGTCTAAAGCAAAACAGGAGCATTCACACATTTCTACAACAGTTCAAAAACCATCAGATAAAAATCATAACTGCAGTTTGAATCATGCAACTTTTTCACAACCAAGATGCAATGCCAGCAGAGTTAGAAGCAAGTTTCCTGCACTATGCAATATCTCAGGCAACACTAACTTAACCAAAAAGGCAGATAAATGTTTTAAGGACAAATTTCTCAGATACTACAGTAATACATACCTAAAAAAACCCTCAGATGATAAATAAGCAGGGATGTGAAAAGAGGCTCAAGGATATACTGCAGACAGGTGAATTCAAAGATCCTGGTGAACAACAGGATGCTCAAACAGTTGTCAGGCTTTGATTCTTTCTCTCCCAGGGCTCCACTCAGTCTTAGCATTAAAGAGGCAAGACACCGAAGGGAAACAGTGAGCAGCACAAAAAAAAGTGCAAGGGTACTTGAATTTTTGTAGAACATTTACCATCATTTAAGCAGATGAGAAAAAACGGGAAGCTTAGTACATTTTAGTGAAGATTCACACCTAATTCAAGACTGTTTGCTAGTTTAAGTATGCTTTTTTACTTTTTAAAAATACAGTGTTTACCCAGTTCATGGATTTGATTTCTATGTGAAACAGAGAAGGTGTCACACTTGATCTTAGAGAGACAAAAAATTTTTTTGAGAAAAAGTGATCTTTTATTAAAAAAAAAAAACCAAAACACTTTAAAATCCAGGAGGGTACCATGCACAAGGGGCACAAGAGAGAAGTATTATGATGCTGAAACTTAATGAATTTACAATTCTTACTATTCCATCAGTGTTCTGAAATTAATCAGAATAGGAACAAAAAGCCAAACCATAAATGCCTGATTTCTCCTGGGTAAACGGGTAGTTAAACTGCCGGGAATTTATTGTAATTCTAGCAGCAAGCAGGGGGCTTGGGAGAGCCCACATCAGATTAGCTGCAGCGCTTTACAAACAGGCATTACTGAATTCCACTACAGCCTGGTTCCGAGAGCCTGCTTCCAGCCCATGCTGAACCCGGGAAGGCGGACATTACACATCCCTGCCTCCCTCTCTCCCAGCCTTTCAGGAAGCTGTGAAGCTAATTTTCCCCAGCAGCATTCTCTGGAGGAAAAGGTTCACTTCTTGTGAAGGTAACATGTATTTTTTAATTATTATTTTTTTTATGCCTCCCCAGGGAAGGTGAGGAGGGGGGAGCTTCCTTGCTCGATACAAAAAGAAATTTTCCTGTATCAGTGCCAAGAATAGACACCCTAAATTCAGTGATCCTAATCTCCAGCCATCCATCAGCAGCAGGGTGGGACCAGCTGATTCAGATTTTCTATTAGCTAGTGACTTTGTGTACTACAATAAGTCACTGTACCACCCAATTGTTCCTGCTGCTCTCTGCTCTGCAAAAGTACAGGCTTAATAGTAGCTACCTCAACTAGCGCTGCATGTACTTCCCCACCAAGCCTTTTATAACCAGCACCATCCTCTTCCCACCACGTCTCCCCAGTCCCCGTGTGCCCACGTGACTTTAGATCACAAACATTTCTTACAACATTTGCTCCACTATCCTTTCGGCACACATCAGGGAAAATGCCAACTGAGCATCTACAGTACCACAGGAGGCAGAATCTGAAAACAAACCTAACCTGCAGACAGACTATTCGATGGCAATAGCTCATTTACAGAGCCAATTAGTATTCATACAGACAGTGATCAAAGCTCTTATACAGGGCACAGCGTGTGACAGATGAAGACAAGATAAAATAATAAAACCCCCAGGTCTATATTTTAAAAGGCATGGGAAAATATCAAAACAGTTCGCTAATACATCAGCCTAATAAATGACTGTTGGTCAAATGTTCAATAACCCACATTCATTGGTTATTTTCTGGACTAGAAAATAAAATAGGTGTAATTTGATTAATGTTATTCCATTATTTACACAATAAAATCAATAGCAGAGTAAGTAAACTAGCAAATTATTTGAAAATAACACTAAATAAAAACAATTAAAAATGCACAACTGAGGCTAACAGCAAAGTCTGTTAACAAAGTCAGACAACTCACACAGTTGGTACTCTGCAAGTTTTCAATTCCCATAGACTAGTGCCATGCACTGGGAGCAAAAATAAATAATCTGAGACCAGTTTATATCAGTTAAATAAAACAAGCCTCATGTGTCTCCATGGGTATCACAAACTTCTGTCCTCGTTCATATTCCTGCAGCCACAGAGAAACAAAAGGAGCTGGTAAGCCAGGCCTTGCTGAGTATTAGCAGCATGGGCCATGCACAAGTAAGTGAATTTTTAGCAAAGATGAAGGCAAATGTTTCATGAGTTCAGATAGCTCTATAGCGTCAGAAGAAGTGGTATCCAGACATGCACATTTGGTCTAAGCTTCTCTGCAGCTTAGAGAACAGAACACCTTGGACCTGTTGTTCAACACCACTATCAGCCAAAGAGAAAGGTAGCTGCCCATTTCAAACAGAGGAAAAAATACACTTGCTACCAAAATTTTGAAGACTACTGATTTTGGGTGTCCCATAGAACCCATATTGAGAGACACAAATTTTTCAGAAAACTACAGAGACTCTCCCCTTAACTATCTTCATTCCTAGTGGCAAAACTGGCATCCAAAAAACCAACATATCATGCAGTTCCTTTGAGGAGAATGGCCTCCAAGTTCAGTAGTGGAAATTCAAAAGGAGAAACTCTGGTTTTTGTTTTTTTTTTTTTTTCTTTTTAAAGCTAAATAGCAACATAGAAACCTCAGAGAAAGGGGGAAGATATGAATTGTCCATTTGATCAATTAATGTAGTGAGGCATTTAGAAAAGAACTTAACTAATTCAAAATCATGGCATGACAAGAATCTTAGTTTATTGTTTACTATTAAATTAATAAAGCAAACAGACAAAGTATTCCAGAAGTCTGCGTTATAAATTGCAAACATGGTAAGGTATACTAAGTGTTTAGTCTACAGTAAAGGAGATGCAGTACTCAACACAGCTTTATGGAATTTTGAAAAGAAGTAAAAACACTAGACATTTTCTTCAAACAAACCAGGTTTTGGATTAGGAGAATAAAATAGTTCTTTACCCAAAAGTTAGTAAGATACCTACTGCACTAATACATCAAGTAAACATTTGCTAAAGTTTATATAAGCTCTGCTCATTTATGGGTAAGCAATTAAATTATTTATATGTTGCACATCTCCACCTAAACCACTCATCATGAAGCATTCCACTATGGGATGTATAATCTAATAGTCCTCCGCTGATTACTGAAAGGTAACCACCACCAAGATCAAGTTTATGACAGCTATAGAAAGCGTATCTACCTGTACTGAAAGGACAGTAAAAATTCCCAATTAAGTTGTGTTCTAGATGCTAAGTCCTCCAGAAAGCACCTCTATTTTCTGCCACACTGAGGTGGGTCAAGTACATGCACTATAGCAGATTAACACCAGTGCAACACAGAAACAACATGCATTAATCAAGGCTCCAAGCTCCCCATGTCCCAGGCTTGATCCCAACTTTAGCATGTTATAGCTCTGTAAGGCATCTTGCAGGAGATTCTTTTTGCCTACTAAAATAAATGCCAATAATTGAGGTTCTTATTTAATAAAATGTGAAAATGCATTAAAGAATTACAGTATTCTTTGTGTTATTTAATCTGACACTACTTTCTATTTGTTTTACACTGTCTGTACATTTTCAATGTACTGGAGAATAACTGTGTAAAATATGTCAAAGGAAAGCTAGAAGTTTTGTCAACTGGGAAGAGAACACCTGAGCCACTTAGGAAGGTACACAAACAAAGCAAGTTTGCAGGAAGAACAGACTGGCTAGATATCAAAAGGATCAATGAAAAACCAGCATGAAATTACTCAGCACTGCATTGAACTGAATAAACTAGTCACTTTTAAGCAGTGATTTTTTATTATTTGCAAGCAGACAAGATGTAGTCCACTAGGTATACAAATGTAAGAAAAACGTCTATTAAAAATCTAGAACACAACAGTGAAAATTCTGTAGCCTGCCAATATATGTAGTCACACAGAACAAGTATTTCCCCTTCCTATGTACAGCATTAAGACAACAGCTTACCCTTTCCACTTGTCCTTCTTTATGCTTCAGTTTGTACACTTTCAGCTTCGGAAGGAAAGTCTCCGTATAGTTCTTGTCTTCCGTGCCTTGTAGCAGTACCCCATGGAATGCCAACCTGCAGGTATTTGCATGAATATCTGTATCCAGCTTGGAGCCGATCACAAGGGACAGTTTAGGACAAGTGACTGGCTTCTCAAACTCTACCAAAGCCCACTGTTGTCTTGGGAGCTGGACTTCTCCTGCCTGGTCATTTTCTTTGTTCTCCTCTGAAGAATTTGAGTCCTTGGACAAATATTCCTCTTGATAAAGATAGTCTTTTTCAAAATCAAAAACATTTTCTTGAATTTCTTCATTGAAGTCAGCAGGGGCTGGACTGAAAAACATCACTCTTCCCATAACTGTTTCATGACCAACTGTGATATGGAACTTGGCCTTGGTCTGAAGAGCTCCTCGAAAATACTGGATTTTCTTCAGGGAAATTATTGCAGCATGGATGGTGTGAAGTGATTCTGGGGTGCAAATCAGGCCTCGTTCTAGCAGTTTGGGATCAAACTGGGTTACACAGACACCTACTCTGTCGCCCTGCATAGCATAAGTCACAGGAGTATGGAACATCTGCATGGACTTGACTTTCTTTGTCACCTATTGATGAAAAAGCAAGAAAAAAACCAAAGCAATTAATTGCACACAAGTGTGTCACAAGCACAAAAGCCACATATCACACCCTGCTGTCTTTTAAGACAGCAGACCTTCCAGAATAGTCCACAATTCAAAAAGTAGAAAGTGAACAGACTGAGAACATACCCCATCATCTAGAATTACCACAGGTTTGAGCCTCTTAGCTTATTCTAATTGTATAACATTATCATGGCCACAGTTACATCAGTATTTACATCATTTGTGCAGCAATACCTACATACACAACACATATTTTGTGTTATACACAACATATTTTTGAAGGGCTGAAACCTCAAAATTGGATTCAAGAAAAGAACTCTCCATGGGAATGCTCCCTTCCAGAGAACATTTCTTTAGTATGCCTTTATCAACATACAGTAGATTATGCCGTGGATGTGTACAGAACAGCAACGTTGCTAGAACAGATCGCAACTCTTCGTATAATTTCTTCTCTCTCCCTTTTCTTAGTACTAATTCTACAGGTATCACAAAAAGGTTCATGTCAAATGCTACTGTGCAATTCTCAGCATTCAAGCCAGTAGTATCTGTTTTACTCAGATAGAACGGTTCTCAAATCAATCTCCAACCACTGCATGTCCCTTAGCTCATCGCCTACCCCATTTATCTTCTAACTCCTGAAAGTAAGAAACCAAAATACACGAGCACAGATGAAGAGAATCCCAAACCAAAGGATTGGACTCAGCAGATCTGGGCTTCATTCTCAGTATGTCACACAGTGTAGAGCACATCATTTAGGTTAGATGACTCAGAACAGTCTAGAGGAGTTAGCCTTATTAATTTTAATCACAGAATTATTTACTTACAGGATAATATTGAAGATATCAGCTTTTTTTTTTTCATCTTGGATACAATGCATAAGCAAAACAAAAATATGTTTTTCACCTTTTCCTTTTCTACGAAGCCTGCCACCCTGTTTGAAGGACACAATACTTGGCTTCAGACAAATCTTTGTATGCCCATTCCCAACATCACCAGTCTAAGTGATACTAAGGGAAGATTGTAAAAAAAAAAAAAAAGTAGTCACACTCAGAGGGGAACAAATTGCAGAAACTTAGATCGAAAATAGAGGAGTAGATGAAAAGTCTATTGGCTGAACTAAACCCTTCAGAAACTAGAATATAAAGAGCTCTCCAAATAATTCAGCAAAAAATGGACACAGGCAATATACAGAAAGCTGATTAAAAGGGGGGAAAAAAAAATATCAAGTAGCTGTGCGGCTTCTGGAAAACAACAAAAACCCTGTATTCCTCCTTGAAATCATAATTATACAGATAACAATAGCCATGACCTTCACCACTACAAGTATTGTTTGGGTTCCCTGGATCTGTCTGCTAACCAAAACCAAAAGAAACACCCTTTTTCAGACTATAATAGTTATTATTGCAACATTTTTCAAATCAAGTGCCACATCACTGCCTGTGGATTCTTGGAGAATCCACAGAACGAGAAAGGAGATCAAGAGGTACATGCACGTAAGAATAACCCCTCGCTAAAAAGCCTGGACCAGATTAGTTTGGTGTGATCTTAACTAATGTCAGAACAGACTTAAAAGACCATTCTAAATATTCACTAGGATTTCAGTTTCTGACATTATTGTACTCAATTATATATTTGTTTTCCCTTTAGCCAAACCTCCTAGACAGTACTACCTATTTAGATAAATGGGAGAAACAATTTAGCATTTACCTCCACCTCTCTCTTCACTTCCAAGGTTGTACGCTTTTGACAGCTGGAAGTACAGGGGCTTGAATCAAACCCTTCCTTTTTTCATTCACTATAACCTCCCCCTCCCTTCCGGTTACAATTATTGTGATAGTTGCAACACTGGTGATACAAGTAATGTTTACAGATTTTTTAAAAATGGAAGGTATTCTAAACATATGTGTTTCAAAGAAATAAACAAGCACTACAAAATTGAAATTGCCAGATGAAAAGCATAAGCCCAAACCATTTTGGAAGATTTATGTGATTTCATATGTGATAATACTGGCAATAAGTCTTCCATCTTCTACAACCATGGACAGGGTGAATAAACTGACAAGAACTAAGGAATCTTCCAGCACTGTCACTCGTCAACACAAAACTGAAACTGGAAGACGCACAAGAGAAGAGACTATGCAGTTTTCTACCTTAAACGGAGACACAAAGATTTTTTTCTTTATTATTAATATTCCAGCTTATAATATTAATAATATTACTTTTAAGAAACTACCCACCTAAACAGCCGAGTGAAATTATTACAGAAAATATTTGACAGTCTCTACAACAGTCTACTGATGTTTCATCTGAAACATCTTTCACAAAGTTCAGATAGCATTAAGGAATAAAAATTGTGTTTAAATATACCTATTCTTGTGTACATATGCTCAGAATACATCGTACCTTTTAATTACACATCTATGAAACTGTCCTCAAGTGTTACGCCTCCCCTTAAATTAAGTGAAATGATTAGGCTTGATGTATCTAGCATGCAGCCCATAAATAACGATCAGAAGGAGAATTAATACGTACTTTGAAAACATTCACTTCATACTATTAAACTTTTTCAATGAGATTTGCAGTTCTCAACCATGGCACACAGATCTGGCTTGTATCAGAATACTGTGTTCTTACACATTTCTCAGTGTTAAACTACATTAAAAAGAGTATACAACTGTAAAAAGTCACTTTTCATGACAAAAGCTTGCTACTGTAATTCCTACGTGCAGGAGAAACTTCGCAGTTTGAGTACTACTACAGGAGTATTTTCCAGTGTTGCATGAGGCTTTAACAGGATGGCTCCTGTTCATACATTTGCTGATGGTCCTCACAGTCTCCAATGCAAGTTCGAGAAAAATGCTGGATCCTGACTAATTCTCTTTCAGAAAAATGTCCTAATAAAAAAAAAAACCACCACTGAAAGTTTGCAGAATCATGTAAAGCAGAGCTTTTTTCCCCCAGCCAAACCAGATTATCTGGTCTGCCTCCAACTCTCTCATGGGAGGGCAAGCCCCCCCATGCTGACTGCACTCACCCAGAGCTTTAAGAATCACCTGATTTCTCTGTAGCTGGGTCTGGCTTTCGGACAGGTCTGCTTGTCCTCACACATGTGAAGGGAAAGATAATGCATTACTCAACCTACTGAAAATCAGCACTTCATGCTGACCTATCCGGTACTTTGCAGATGATTTAATCAGCCCATCTATATTTGTTTTCAATGTAAACAGTTTTCCCCCTTATATTCATGGTATCCACTCTTCTATGTGGAGTTCCCATACACATATCAGAGGACAGAAGAAAAGCAAATGGGAGGAGCACATTCTAGCCCATTCCTTTTTTCCCCTACATGTTCTCAGTACGGGAATCAACTGTAAAAGGAGTACACAATATGGTATCTTAACTGACCATAAAACTCTGTTCCAAGAGCATAATGTATGTAGGAATTAGGTTCTGACCAAAACAACGCTAAAGAGTGCTTAGGTGATTGGGGGGGTGGATTAGATCACACGAGAACAGAGTTGGAATTGCATCTCCTTCTAAAGGTCAGACGTGGACTCAGCAGAGAAGTGAATCAGTGAGTTGATCTGCACCCGCTGGATCAAATAACAACAGCCAGAGTAGCTTTAAATCACTAACTTCCTGTTTTCTGAGCAGACCATGACCATCAGTACAGTATTTCATTCCGTTTCACTCTGACCCCGACTGACAGAGACATTCGTCCATGGTTTAAAATACTCCAAGTATGGGTTTTTTTCTTCCAAAGGACTGAAATACATAACTAAAATTCATCTTTGTTTTGTCTGGCTCTTAACATACAAACCTGGAAGCACAGAAAAGGATGCAAATGGCCCTCAGTATTAGATCTGTTTCTTTTGTGCATATCTAGTTTCACCTATGTAAAGGATCTCCACAAGTTCTAGCACAATTCTGAACTTTCACATATTTTCTTCAGCTTTAAAACAAAAGAAATTTCAAGTAGGGAGTTGGGGCTGGATCACCCAGTCCACCCATCTACCGACAGAACATTGTTAAATATTTCTGAGCATTCTGTCCTGAGCAACAGGAATTCATAACTAAGACCAGCTATGGCCAGTATCTTTGGCATTTCTTTGCATTTATGTCGAGTACCTAATTTTTGTCCTCAAAATGCTGTCTGTAAAACAACTTCTATCTCTTCTTGTCCAGGAAAATAGTGCAAGGCCCATACTGAGTGCAACGTTAAAGAGACAGACTTTATCACATGAAAACAATGTAGGTAAACATGGAAAACTTGGATACCATTATAAAACTTGCTACAAACTTAGCTAAGAAATTCACTCAACATTGTTTTCTAATAACAGCACAAGGGAATTGATTATATCTCATCATATAAATCAAGAGCCATGTGTTGAAATCTTACATCATTTGCAAAAGGATTTGCTTCACTTTTAAAATTTTATTTGTATAATCACATTAATGTTCCTACAGCATTATGTAAAGGTCTACAAAAAGAGCGAGAAAGAAGTAGTTTGTGTTCAAAATGCAAAACAGAAATCAAAAGCACCCAAACAGTTCAGCCCTTGAGATAAACAAATGTATTCAATATAAGAGAACCCATTATTTGAAGACCAAAGGAAAAGCCCACTAGGATATTCAAAGCAGTTTAGTACAGACTAATAGAAAACAGGATACAGAAAAAGTCCGCTAATGACTTTTTCCCCTGATATGTCTGAGCTTCTTTTCCTTTATTTATCCAACTTCCATTAAGTTATCAACCATATGCCATTGCTCATAGCTTCTTTAGATAAGAACCTAGCCATCCTGCTGTCTCTCAATGCTGCAAGTGCATCTTTCTGATATGATAGATACAGTAACTGTACTTCCCTGTAATACTGATGAGAAGCTGCAAAGTTAAAATAACTAGTCTTAATAATCTATTAGAGTAAATGCTGATTACAAATGCAGTATTTATAAAAGGAGTATTA